GCGCAGAGGGGCGGCCGCGGGGGCCGAGCCGGCCCAGGAGAGGGGCTGGCGGGGTGCGAGAGGGCGTGAGGGGGAGCGAGGCCAAGAGGGAGGGGAGGGCAGAGAAAGAGCCCGGGAAGGAGGAGGTGGCAGGCAGAGGAGCATAACGAAGAGCAATGTGTAGGTATCGGGAGCTCCCAGAAGGGTAACGCCACCGGTTTTCGGTTTTTCCTCTCTGGGCGTGGGGAGGGGGGCGGTCTGGGCTCTCTTTTCCCCTCTTCTTTCTCCTCCACTCGTGGGCATCTCTTCTAATTTTCCCTTTCGAAACCACCGTAACTGGGAGCAGGCATGGCCTGCTGGGGTGGCTTCCCTGTCATTTTCCGGCGGGACGTGCTGAGGAAAAGGGGTGGGGGCTCCGCCGGGCACGGCTGAGGCCGGGCGTGGGGGTGAGGCCGAGGGTGTGTGGGGCGCAGGGGACTCGGCGGGTGTGTTCAGGGGGACGCAGAGGCTGAAGGCTGGAGCAGGGCGGGGAGTTCTACATCTCGAGAAGTTGTGGGGTGAGACAGGGGCTGTGCGCGGGTGAGGCCCGCTCTTGAGCCGAGTAGTGGGGTATCGGGGTGCGGGGACGTGGGGGCGCTTGCTGTTTGGGTCCGTGTGTAGTAAGGGCTGAGTTGTGCAGCAAGTACGGCTGGGAGTTTGTGTGCGCGCGTGTGTGGTCCAGCCTGGAGAGGGGTGTGTGTGGTGGGGGACACCGTGGGGCGTTGAGGGAGAGCGCCCCTCACCCGCCACTTCCCCCTGTCCCTCTCATCCCATTCACAGAACGTGGCTTTCAAGACCCTCCTGGCCTCCTCCTGTCGCCATGGCTGCGGGGAGGGGGTGGGAGGAGACTGTTGGGGCCGGCCCCTGCCCCTGCTGCTCCGGCTAACCCTCCACCTGCCCTTTCTCTCCCTTCCACAGGCTGGGCCCCATCCCCTGCTGCTCTGGGGGGCAGGGGCCGGAAGATGGTGGCCAATGAGGAGGGGGAGTGGAGAGAACTTGAGCCGGGCCTCCCCTCCCCCATTTCCTCCCCGGTCTCTGGAAGGAGCTGGGGGATGGCTGCTGGGCCCAAGGTGGGGGAGGGGCCCTGCCTGCTGGTGCGTCGCTGGGCCCGCTCTGGAATGAGTTGGGTGTGAGAGCTGAGGGGCTCTTGTTCCCAGCCCCCCGTTGGAGAGATTTGGGCCCTCCTTGGTGAAGAGTCTCGCCTAGCCTCCCCGAACCTTGCAGGGTAGCCCTGCCTTTGCCCCTGTGCCGCCTGTTGGCATGGTCCAGTTCCCAGCTGGGACTGGTTGGCCCAACGCAGGAGCAGAGGCCTGGTGAGTGACCCTATTGGGGCCTTGGTTTCCGTCCATGGGAACTGTGCAAACTGGGACCACGTTTGCCGATCGCAGGAACTAACTCGCCTGCTTCCTGAGGGGGTGGGAGAAGGCTGGAGGGGAAGCCCAGAGGAAGAGCTTCCAACTGGAACTGTCCTCCAGTGCTCCTGCTGCCTGTGAAGTGGGGAAGAGGGCATCGCCCAGAGGCCTTCCCGGAACAGGGCACCAAGGAGTCACCCCACAGCCTCTGCTCCTCCGGGTTGTTGCACACAGTTGCCCAGGTCAGCGCTGGAGTCGGGCTTCCAGTGGAAAGTGCCACACTAGAGCTCCGACCCTTTGGCTGTTCAGGTGTCCCTCGAGGACAGTCTAATGGCTCTGGGTTTTAATCAGTGTCGGTATTTTTATCCGCGGTTTAAGGCCCCTAGACTGGAGAGGGCTGGGGAAATTCTGGGTAAGTTTGAAGACTCCTTAACTGGAGTCCCTGGATAAAATAGGAAAAATTGGTTCTAATCCCGCTGGCCACGAAAGCCTGTCCTAATGCTCAGTAACAGGGAGTCACCCTTGCCATTTTAATGTTGAATCCGCCAAGTGGATTTTGAAGACATCCGAGAGTAGATGAAGAGGTGAGGCTTCACCGCAGGTTCTGCCTCCAGGGTGGAAGCTTCGTTGTCTGGGAACCTGTGACCAAACTTCCCCTCCTGTTGGTCCTGGAGGTACATCCATCTGAGGAGGTCCTCTTGATGCCTGGAACTCGCCTTTAAACTAAAAAGGAGAGCGAGCTTTAGAGTAGGGAGGGATAGAGGGCTCTGTGGTCTTGGTCAGCAAGCTCCTTGCCAGAAGGGAAGCTGGCAGAGATACAAGTCCAGATAAACAGCTACTTGCGAGTGTCCCCAAACTTTTGGGATTCCTACCAGTCACTTTCTGTGATGACTACCAAGCTCAAAGTATCCCTTAGCTGCCTCCTTGGGCCCTGTTCCCCACCGCAAAACCTCAAGAAGGTGGACCCAGCGTTGGGAAGGGCATGAGGAAGGCAGAAGGAATGGAGAGAAAACAGGATTAATCCTGAGTAGGAAGGAAAACCGGACTGAAACGGGAAGGGGCAGAGGGTGTGCATGAGAGCTGGGTGGTCCTGGGACTGGGAGAAGGGGCAGGGAGGCAGGCCCAGCATGTCTCTGCTGCGGGCCAGAGCTCTTTTCACATTGTGCTACTGTCTGCACCTACCACTAGCAGTGCAATGTTAAAAGGGCATTGGCCACGTAGCGCTACCCAGCGTGGGCTGCCTCCTCAGCATCGGGGCTGCCTCCCTCATGGGCACCAATCAGCTACCCTCGTGGGAATCTGGGAACTCGCTATTGGGAGTCCTACTAATAACTCGTATTTATGGAAGCACTTCCAGGTGCCATCCATGCAATAAACACTTGATCCATTGTGGTTGAACCCCTCAGTAACTTAACCAGTGAGAGCTCCATTTTACAGATGAAAACACTGAGAGCCAGAAAGGTTTTAAGCAGTATGGCGAAGCTTGTACAGCTCTTAATTCCAGAGCCTAGACAGAATCCTGTCCTAAGTCTGACAGCTCGACCGTTCATCTTTTTGTAGACTTGTCTAGAGAGGTTGGAGTAGCTTCTCACAACTGAGATTGCCTGGGCTGAGGGGTGGAAGGGGTTGATGCCATCTGCTGGCTGTATGACGGTATCTTCCAAAGTCACAAGCCTTTAAAGATAGAAGTAGTAGTGGCTTGTTGGCTGAGAAGAGTCACGGGCTCAGCCTGGGATGGGAGGGTGGATGAAGTTTGGGAGAATCACTGGTAGAACCAGAGTGAACCTCCATGAGAAGGGGGCACACAGGAAAGGCAAAGGGCTGACTTGAAAGGACTGTTCCCCAGGGACAAGGGTCTGTGTGCCCTTGGCCTTCCTCACCTGCAGCTCCTTCCCTGGCTCTTGGTGCACAGAAAGGACACTGTCTCCTGCAGTTCCCAACAGGTTGTCTCTTGGTCCCAGCGTAACTGATTATGATGCATCTCGAGGGTACATCTGTTTGGACATCCAAGATTTGGACAGCACTGCCCATGGCCACATTTTAGAGATTAAATAGGATCCCACATGAAGGATTCTTCCAGGAGAGGTTACAAGGAACTTGAGAGGGATAACTGCCATTTACTCCTGTTTCCCACAGTGCCTAGTTGGCTTATTAAGAACTTGTTAGGGGAAATTGAGGGAGAGGCAGATTTGGGGAGTTTAAGTACCTGATTGTCAGGGTCAGCGCTGAGGACTCAAGAACCTTCTTGAACTTCAGTGCAAGAAGTGGGACCAGGGGGAAAAAATGTGGGACTAGGGGGTCAGGGTTTCTGGGTCCCTTACTGAAACCTAAGAGGCAGCTTTCTAGGAATCAACAAGGATGCAGAAACTGAATAGGACAGACACCGCCCCACCCCCAGGCTTCTCGGATGGGATACTGGATGTCATTCCTTTGTGGTTTACGTTTGCTGCCTTCTTACACCTCTCTGCCTTCCACTTCTGCCCAGACAGCCTCTCCATTTTGATGCTGACAGTGGTACTTGAGATGGTATGATTAGCTTTGTGTCCCTTTAGTCTATTAACATTTCTATTTGAGCCTCTTCTGTGGGCACAAAATGGCCATCTAACGATGCCACTTGACTGTTAAATAAGCACTTTGCAGTGTTACCCCAATGCCCTTGGACTGAAATCTAGACTCCCTAGATGGTGTATATACCTACCTGTCCTTCCTGTCATCTCTTATCTCCCAGCCATTTAGACGTATAGTCCAGCTGTAGGAAATTTTCTCAAATTAAGCACAAGCCACTTGACACACAGTTTTCCCCTCTTCTCCTGTGCCCACCCAACTTAGAAGTGCCATCGTAATCATTGCTTCTGTGAATCCTTCCTTTACCCTTCAAATTTAGACTGCTCTACTAGCTGCCCAGTTTCTTGGAGCCCTTGTCCCCTTCTGGAACTTACTGGTTGTCTTCCCATTACACAAAAAGTTGCATGAGGTCAGGCCATGTTATCCTTGTGGCTACTGAATCCCCAGTGCTTACCACGACGCCTGGCAGGTAATAGATGCTCTACACATAATATTCAATAACGAACGTCTGAAGATAAGCTAGTTTACAAAAAGATCCTTAGGATGTATACAGTCCTCCCTGCAGTTGGTGATGTAAAAACAATAGGAACTTCACATCTCTGTCAGAAATGCAGATGGGTCACAGTTGAATTGATGCTGTGATTTTGAGCTGTTTGTCCAATTGGCATCAACCTGCCAGAGCAGCCCCTCGGCGACTTGATTTTTCCTGTAAGTGTGGCCATGAGCTGACCGAACCAGGCTGAAAGGCAGTGGGGACTAAGAACACTCATCCTGGAAGGACCCTCATCCGGGTGTCCGATCCTGGATCTAGGCAAAACATTCGTTGTCAAGGGTCCCGGAAGACGCGAGCTAATTCGGATGCTTACGCTGGAACATGGCTCACGAAAGACGTCCCTCTCACGAAGCAACACCATCCAAATGCCCATCTGCTAAAAGCTCAGGTGGGGTCATGCCGTAGACAAAGCAACTGCTGCCCCCTAGTGGTGTGAAGGGTGTGGGCGTGTCAGACGGGATAGTGCAGGCTATGTGCACAGGAAGGAGTCAAGAGGACAGAATGCCTCCCAGTTGATTTTCCCCTTTTTATTAAAAAATAGACCCAAACACTTTATGTATCATACAAAAGTTTCATTCGCTGGTGGCAGCCACGAGGAAGCTTGACTCCCGTAGCGCTGATTTCCCACCTCCCCTCCAAGGGACTGCGTGCCGGGGAGCAGTGGCTGGGCCTTGGAGAATGCCCATGCCCGTGAAGACTGCTCGCTCTGGCAACTGCCAGCTGTGGGTGGGTGCTGTCCGGGGCAGCTCTGCTTACCCCACCCAGTGGCAAAGGTTAGCTACTCGAAAGTGCCTCTTTAGTGCCAAGATAAACAAGTGGAGTGAGATGGAAACCTCTGATTTTATTTCCCAGGGCCTGGGATTTGGGATTTTCCCTTCCACTCCCAAATCATCCTACAGTGCGGGCAGTGGGAAACTTTACCCTCACAGACTCTGGTATCTCTGGCATCCGAGGCCAAAATTTCACTCCAACTCAAACATCTTCTATTCTGTGGACTGGGACCTATTAGCCCTATGCCTCGTTAGGGTGGTGGGGGCAGCAGAAACGGATCCTGCCACAGTCCTCTAAGCCCCACGATCACCTCCAGCTTCATAGCCCTTGGGGCTAGAAGGACCTGTAACCATCCCTTACCCCCAGTTCTTTCCCTGACTGCTGCCCACTTCTGAGCCTTGAACACCCCTGGGGTACCCCAGACCCCTGTTCCAAAAGGGGCCTGGGAGTGATGAGGTGGAGGAGGAAGGGTTGGTGGGAGTGGGGTTCCCCCAGGGGTGGGGCAGTACTCATGCTGGTATGGACTGCTTGGCAGGGCCAGAGGGCAGGTGTGGGGAGGGTGGGCATGCGGAGGAAGGGCACAGCCTGCCTGAGCCCCTCAGTCCCAGCCGTTGTCCTTCACCATGTGTGACATTTCAATGATGTACTTCCCCTCCTTGTACTTCTGGCTTGTCTCAAAAGCTTGTTCCTGGTGAAGGGGAGGTAGTGAATGTAGGACAAAGCAGCGCCCAGACCCTCCGCCTGCTTCTGCTGTTACTCCTGCCCCCAAGCGCCTCTTCCCTACCATCCAATGGCCAGTTTAACCCACCTACTATATTACCTCCCACTTCCCTATTTGGACCATGCAAAGACCTGATGTGTGGTCACTGGGGCTTGGACGCCCTTGGAGGATGGGCCCTTTCCCCAGGGACTTACATATTTCCAGCCCAGGGTGGTTTTGCAGCTCTCGCAGAAAATATCCGCTACCGAGTGTAGCCCTGTGAGCAGGAGGCGCTGTTCAGCTGGCCCACAACCCACGTTGACCCTGTCTCAGGAAACAGGAAGAACCCAGCACCCAGTGGGGTCATTCTGGCAGCCCAACCTTCCAAACAGCCCGGAGCACTTCCATCTGGAGAGAGCTTAACCTGCCACCTGGAAGCCCTGCCTCCAGCAATCCACCCCTTTATGAAAAGCTCCTGGACTTTCCTCTGATGTGATTCCAATTTTGCCCACACTCCCCACAAGAGAACGGGAGAAGGGGTTTTGAACCCCTTTGCAAAGGAGAGGCAGAAGCAGAAGGTGCAGGGCCACCCTCTGACGGCTGCCCCATTTCACCACGTTGGAAAACTATTCACACACACACACAAAGAGAAAGATAGACTCACACGGAGTTAAACAGGTAGGCTCGGCCATGGCTCCCTTGGAAGGACTGTGGAGACACAGGACAGACAGTGACTACTGGGTAGCCCTGGGCCCCACTGCCTGAATCCCCCAAGGGCATGAAAGAGGGGAGACAGGCTTGGTTTCCTCAGCCCTACGTGAGTTTGGAGAATCCTGGTGGGAGAGAAAGGAGGGGAGCGGCAGGCTCCTCCCCACTTGGCATACCTTGGAAATAAGCTCGTCGTGTTTGGCTAGGTGTGCACGGCAATGGACGCAGCTGTAAGTGCGGTGGCAGCGGGGCAGGTAGCTGCGGAATGTCTTGGTGGGGAGGTAGGCAGGGCCCGGACCAGGGTCACAGCTGGGCATGGCGGGCTGCAGGACAATGCCCTGGCGGGCTGGAGGGGCTGGCGCCGTGCAGCCCCCACACAGACGGTCGCAGGTGAAGCAGCGGAGCAGGTTGGCTAGAGCCGTGTTTCAGGGCAGGAGAAGTGTGGGGGGGCTGCCCGGCCAGGGCCCCCCCCAGACGTGAACCAGGTAGAAACGGAAGTCACCTGGGAAGAGGGGAGAGCCGTGATCTTGTGAGGAGCCCCTTCATAGGCAGTGGAGAAGATGGGGCTCAGCTTGCGCCTGCCCCTACTTCCCCATCACCATCAACCGTCTTCAGCATTCAGTGGCTCTGTGTCTCCCTGTCCCCTGGATTCCCATCTGCTCTGGCAGCCGTTCCAGGCCTCTGGTGCCATAGCTAGGGAGGTGGTGTCCCTCCCTCCTGGGGCGGGAGCAGCCTCCACCATTTCCCACTGAGAGCAGCCGGCTGGCACAAACGCTGCCATGGGAGCAACGTCATCTGCCCGCTCCCAGACTTCAGTTCTTTGTGAGGATCTGCATCCCACAGGCACTGGTAGGCTCTGGGGCTCAAAGCCTTTCAAAAGTTGGGGATCCCTGGTGGTTTTTCTTACTGGTGGCGTCCGTTTGCCACACAATTGGTCCTTCACTCTGTGTGGGAGGAAGGGGCGTGATGAGAACGAGGGAGAGGAGGCAGACAGGCACCCACGCTCTGCTGCTGCTGTCCTCTCCTGGGGCTGGGGGGCTGCACTCCGGGAATAGAACTTCTTGCATGTCTCTCTTGGTACTAAGACCTTAATGTGGCCGTTACCCAGTCCTGTGCTTTGGTCCACTCATTCTGGCCCAGAAGCAGCGCCAGGCTGTCTTCTCAGCCTCTGAACCCCTTGGTGTCTCTCTACTGTTCTTTACTGTGACCTTAGGCCTCAGTTAAGGACTTGAGCACCCAGCTGCTGGAGAGAGAGTATCTTTCGGGCAAACCTGCCAGCTGGAACCAATGGGAAATGGGGATGGCATCAGGGAGGCCAGTGCTCCTGAGCGCAGTATGGGTGCAAAGTCCACAGCGGGCAGCAGAAGTGGGGGGACTCTCTTATTTTCAAAACCTGTGCTCTGAGGCACAAGGCAGAGAGTATTTCCACCTCCCAGGGGCAGGGTTAAGCAGCAGTGACTGTGGGTGGCAGATAATCGCTGGGTTCTGATTAGAAATCTTGAGAAAAATGTTGGTATCTGCCCAGACTCCAGCCCCAAGTGGCAGAAGGTGCTGGAGGCGGAGGATAAGGAGGGAGATGTCGTCTGCTGGCTGATAAGCAGGTGAGGTGCTGCCTTCTTCGTGGGGCCTTTGGGCCCTTGTGGGTGGTTTAGCCCGACTCATTCAGAGGTGCCAGCTGGGTGCCCTGACAGCACCAGACCACTAAGTAGAGCAGAGGCAGTGTGGCTCCAGGTAGCCGGGGCACACAGGCTCTCATCCTGTCCTCCGTGGTGGCCACCAGAGCCCCAGCTGTTTCAGTCTTTCCTGGGGCCGCCAGGCAGTCTCTCCGCAAAACCCCAGGCAGAGACCATCTTCAGTTTCAGGTTCTCTCCCCCTGGCTGGGCCCAGGAAGACACCTTGGGCTGAGTTCAGGGTGACATTGGGATCTGGCCGCAGGAAACAGGCCCTCTTCAGGAGCAGGACATGGCTCGCGTTCACTTGGCAGGTCTGCCTTCAACTTTGCCTTTGAGTTCCCCGCTGCCGCGCTCCGCCTAGGACACCTTCTCCGAGGGGCCCGGGGATGGGGCCGACACGGAGCCTGCTCCCCGGCTCCTTGCCCGGCCTCCGGCACGCCTCCCGCCCTCTCTCTCTCTCTCTCCCTGCTTCGCTGTCAAGCCCAGGAGAGGCTGCACAGAAGGCCAGAGAATCGCTCACAGGAGGGGGAGTACGGGGTCATTGTTTCCCCATCTCAGATCACAGGGAGAAGCAAGCTGAGCAAATGACGGGGGAAAAAAAAAAACAGGCAAGCTGAGTGCTGGGGAGAGCAAGTTCCCCCAAGTGAGACGGGGCTGGACCGTGGAGGTGGGGGAGAGGGGGGGCCGGCGGGGGTGCTGAGCAACCGGCGCTGACAGCGGAGGCGCCGAGGGAGGCCCGAGGAGCCAGGTGCGAGTCCCGTGTTCTGGGGTGGGGGTGGGCGGGAGGAAGGGGGACACCTGCTCACCGTGGCTTTTCTCATCTGCCCTGAGGCTTCGAGCCCCCCTTCCCCGGGCTGGCTTTCCCAGCATGGTATGGTCCAAACAATTAGCCGCGCAGCCAGCTCCCCGGCGGGCGTTGGGGGTCTGCACCAGCAGCAGGACAATAAACAGTGAAGCCGGATGCTGCAGCCAAAGTTGCCGGGAAATAAGTGAGGGAACCAGAGCTTGGAGAGGGATGGAGGAGCAGAGAGAGAGGAGCAGAGGCAGCGGGGAGGGGGAAGGGAGGACAAAGGGTGGGTGAATAATGCATTTGCAAAGGGGAGAAAGCAACACGCAGCGGGAGGAGGAAATTCGCAAAGGGGAAAACAATTTCATTTGGAGAAGGGCTGCCCCCTCACCTTGAGGTCTGCTCCAGAGATCTCCGTCTATCTCTCTGTCTCTCTGTCTCTCTCTCTCTGTCTCTCTCAATCTCTCTGCTCTTCTCTCTTCTCTCTCCGCGCCTTCAGTTGGGAAGGGGAGGGGGCGGGGAAGGTAGTTAGGGGCTCGAGACTGGGGCTGCCAAGCTGGCCAGCTGCTGGGGGGCCAGAGGTTGTCGCTCGTCTGTACCTCGGTCTGTGGGTGAATGTAGCTGTGTGTTGTGGAACTGCATCATAACACTGTGAGTCATCCGTCCCCCCACCCCCCTCACCTCCCACGTCAGAGCGGGGCTGGGAGACACAGGAGGCGGGAGGAAGGGAGGGGGCAGGCATCGAGGGATGGGGCTGGGGGATGATGCGGAGGGGTGGGAGCCGGGGGACGGGATGGGGAGAAGGCGTGAAAGAGGAGAGGCCGGTTGCTGGGGAGGGAGGCAGTGTGGCCAAGGAGACAGAAAGAACCTGGGGGAAGGACAGGGCTGGGCAAGGATGGAGTAAGGCTGGCAGGGTGGAGAGGAGATGGCAAGGCGGGTGATGGTGAGAGATGGATGCGGAGCCTCAGGCGCGTGCACACACATTCAAGATGACACATTTCCCATGTCAGCCCAGATGCCAGCCCTGACACAGGGGAAAGAAAAGCATGTTAATTGTTGCATGTGGTGAACTGTGTCCCCAGGATTGTACCGGGCACCTCCAGGCCTCCTAACCTTAGCTTAATACTCCTGAAGGAGCCACAGACCAAATATGACATCTCCCATACAGGAACCTCTTAGCAGCTACCTCCAAATTACCTGTGCTTCCTCAACAGAGAAAGACACATTACATAACGTTCTCTACTGGGCCGTGAACTTTCTGAGGCAGGTCCTCTGGGAAACTCCTCTCTGCATCCCAGGACTGCAGTGCCTAGCGCAGAGCCTCAAATATAGAAGGTGTTCATAAAATAGCAGTGCAGTTGCCTCTGCAGACGTGGTCCAAGCATCTGGCTTTGGTCTCCAAGGGACCTGAGCTGGAATCCCAGCTCTGCAAAATTACTCACCAGGAACTACCCAGCAAGTTACTGATCCTCTTTATGCCCCAGTTTTCCTCCTCTGCTATATGAAGCTAACGATATTTACCTCATGGAGATGCGAAGTAACATGAGATAACAGGGAAACACTCAAAAAGTGCCTGGCACACATGACACTCAGCAAACAATAGTTATTGTTACTTCAAAACAGTGCCCCCAACTTAATACCCCTAAATCCAGAGAGGATTTACTATTAAAGTCTGATATCTCAATAGACACATACCAAATCTTAATGTCTTAGTTTCTTAATGAAGAACTTACTTTTCTGGTGCTATTTTTCTATCAGCTTCAACTTATATTTCAGTGGACTCAGAATCAGTTTCTAATGGAGTGCCACCCTGTGCCTGTCACTGAAGTGTGGGGACACAGAACATATCCTCTAGGATAAAAATCCCAATTTAAAACAGAAGCTAACCTATGGAAAATGAAGTGGGACAAAGATAGGGACTTAGAAAGGACTACTTGTGGGCTGTTTGTTTTTCTTTGCACATGTAAGGGGGGAGGGAAGTTAAGGTAGGGAAATGTGAGTAATGGGAGACATTGCTAGCTGGGTATGAAAAAAGTAAAAGGACATAAATATTTAATAAGGGAAGCTTCTGGGGCTTAAGGAAAATTTGAAATTTCAATGTGGGTACTTGAGTAATATTACTTGAGGTTTGGAATTGAGAGGGAGAACTGGCTAAAAAGAAGTGTTCTTGTCTGGGCAGTAGAGGAGAAAGGAAATATAAGTGGAGGAATTTGAGGATCTGTTTTTGAGGAAAACAATGGGAAGTGGAGAAAGGGAAGATGAGTAAATCTTAGGGCAAGGATGGAAAGTTTGGAAGCAAAAAAGGATCACTAAATGAGTTAAATTAACTCAGGAAGAAAATTATCGAGGTTTTAGCTGGAGAGGATAATGAAAAAGACATCTGAGGACAGTATTCTGGGGGGTTATTGTAAGTGGACATGACAGGAGTGCTTGGTGAAAGACTGAAAGGGAGAAAAGAGTGTAGGCAAGCACAGATGCTTTAAATGTGCCCCAACTCTTTCTGTGTTTAAGAAGGGAAGTGGAGAGTAGTCTAAAGGGGTGGGGGGTGATGGCGGTGGTGGTGGTGGTGGGGTTGTTCTCCCTGAATTCAACTTGAGATGGTTATACAATATCCAAGGAAAGATGACCTTCAGATAATTGGGAGAAAGTGCCTCCAGGGAGAGCATGTGGAGAAGAAACAGATCTGGGAGAGACTGCACGGCAACAAGAGAAGAGAAGCTCACTCAGGGAGATTTGCAACTAGAAGACTGGAACTGAACTTTTGAAAAATGGTGAAAGATTAAAGAGTTAACTGGAGAACTAATGTATGCATGGTGAATGAGTGAAATAATTAAAGCAAACCATCAAAGAAAAGAACCACAAGAAGTGAGGATGGCGTTGCTTAGAAAGTGAGGGCTAAGGAGGAAAAAAGGCCACCCAGAAAATCACCCCAACCTGGATTCACCATGGGAGCTGGACTGAAAAAAGTACTCATCTGTAAAGTACAGGTGACAATTATAGTATTTTATTCACAAGATTTTTGTGAGGATTAAATGAATTTACACCTGTAAAGCCCACAGGACAGTATGGCATCTAACACTATGTGTTGCTATTATTATAATAACTGGACTCAGACTCCAAAATCTTGGGTTTGAGTCCTAGCTTGGGAAAGTCCCTTCACCTGTCTTTGTCTCCTTCCTCATCTGAGACTGGAGATAATAAAATTGACTTTACAGGGTAGCTGTGAAAGAAGATAGCTGAAAAGGCTTTCAAAAATGTTAATTACTGTACAGATGGATGATGTTATTGTAGCTCCCCCTCCCCAACCTATAATAAAATCTTAAAAGCTAACATCAGATGTTTTCTGTTGCAGGTATTGTGCTTAGTACTTTACCTGTATCATCCCACTCAGTCTTCAAAACAACTTTAAGAGGTTGGGTACTATTATTATCCCTATTTTACAAACAAGAAACTGGATATCAGAGACTTTAAGCCTGTGATTTGCCCAAAATCCCACAGCGAGCAAGTGGCATAGCAAAGAATACAAGATTCCAAAGCCCAAGCGCATAAGAGGAGGATTATAGACAAGGTCCAACCTGTTGCCAGTGGGTAAATGACTGAACTTGGAGTAACTGTCAGGGCTTTAGGGAAGGGAACTTTGTCCTCAACAAAACGCTCAGCTGACCAGGAGAGAAGTTGTTGGTAATGACTTGTAGACTGACTGGAAGAAAATTTTGGACTTCCATTTTTTTTTTTTATTAAGGTGTCATTGATAAACACTTTTTTGAAGGTTTCACATGGAAAACATTGTGGTTACTACATTCACCCATATTATCAAGTCCCCCCCATGCCCCATCGAAGTCACTGTCTTGGACTTTCATTTTAAAAATCTTTTTTTTTTTTAAATGTCCTCAAGGTACCAAGCACTGTGTGAGGTATGGGATGACAAACCAGGATAACCTCAGGCTGTTTGCCTTCACTTTTCTTACCCCTGGGTGTCCTCTTGTCCAAATGGGGTTTTGCCAAATTCCCCAACTCCAGGGAAGCACGCGATCTTGGGAACCAGACCGTGAGCCTCCTCTCCCGCCCACGCTGCCTTCCCCTCCCGGGCTGCAGGAGAGTGGGAACCCGGGGGCGAGAGTCCGCTCGCGTCTCGCCCAGGAAAAGGTTGGCCCTGTCTGTCCCGCCCTTCGGGGGGCGTAACCGCCACGCCTTCCACCTCCCACCCTCCGGCTTCGCAAGTAATGACGGCCGCCGCCCCATCCACTTCTGGCGTCACGATCAAAACAATCCTTTAACTACAACTCCCAGAAGGCGGAGCGGCTGCGCGGCCTCAACCCCTCGCGGCTGTTCCAGCGCAAACTACATATCCCAAGAGGTATCCCGCTAACGCGCCTTCTCCACTACGCAAGTGCGGAACTGGTTTCGCGTCCGGTGTGGGTCTGGGAAAGGGCGGTTGGATGTTGGGCTTAGATTCTCCCTGTGAGGGCTTCTCGGTTTTCCGGTTTGGGCGTGTGGCGGTGCAGGTGAGATAATAAACCCGGGAATGCAGCTGTCACTATTGTGCGGCCTGGGCAGATTTCGGTGTCTGGGAGGCTGGGGTAAGTGGTTGATGTAGAGCTGCGGTCCGGGATAAGAAATCATTCTTCAGTATTCCTCGGCGTTTTCTGGTGTACGAAGTGATTTTTTTCCTCCTAACAGTCCAGGTTAATCTCCAGAACAACACTATGTGTGAGCAAGTGTGCTTCCAGTTGACACAGGAGGAAAAGGTTTAGAAAGGTTAAGTGATTTGCCTTAATCTGCTGGTAGTTGCTGAGCGTGGCCTTAATGCTTTTTTCTAAGTCCAAACCCGGTATTTTGTGCTTTGCATTCGGATTGCAGATGCGCTTGTTGACTGAAAGGGTTGAGGAGTGGGCATCTGTTGCCTTCACAAGTCGAGGGTGTCCCAGAAGAGGGATGAAAGGAGCGATGAAGGTGATGTAATCAATGTGTCAGTCTGTAGATAGTGTTCTTATGTTTGGAATATTTATGGAGGTGCTTCCAGGTTGTCAAGTCCTATCAGGTTCTACAGATACAGCAAGAAATAAAAGTGCCCAATTCTTACATTCTGATAGGGGTAGACAGATAGCAAGCAGATAAATGGCGAGAGAGTTGCTTATCAGAGATAGGGAGAAAAATAAGCTAATAAATCTCCATTGGAGATTGCTGAACAGAGTCTTAACTTACGTTTAGATCTGCTATTTAATTTGTGTTCTAGGCACAGCAGCTACACAGAAAAGATGGGAGAGGAGGCCAACGATGACAAGAAGCCAACAACTAAATTTGAACTCGAGAGAGAAACAGAACTTCGCTTTGAGGTGGAGGCATCTCAGTCAGTTCAGTTGGAGTTGCTGGCTGGCATGGCAGAAATCTTTGGCACAGAGCTGACCCGAAACAAGAAATTCACCTTTGATGCTGGTGCCAAGGTGGCTGTTTTCACTTGGCATGGCTGTTCCCTTCAGCTCAGTGGTCGCACTGAGGTGGCTTATGTCTCGAAGGACACTCCTATGTTACTTTATCTCAACACTCATACAGCCTTGGAGCAGATGCGGAGGCAGGCAGAGAAGGAAGAAGAGCGAGGACCTCGGGTGATGGTAGTGGGCCCCACTGATGTGGGCAAATCCACAGTGTGCCGTCTACTGCTCAACTATGCAGTGCGTTTGGGCCGCCGTCCTACCTACGTGGAGCTAGATGTGGGTCAGGGCTCTGTATCCATCCCTGGTACCATGGGGGCCCTCTACATTGAGCGGCCGGCAGATGTTGAAGAGGGATTCTCTATCCAGGCCCCTCTGGTGTATCATTTTGGCTCCACCACTCCTGGGACCAACATCAAGCTTTATAACAAGGTCAGAACCAGTGGGTGGAGGGAAGGGCTGCTTCAGGGTAGGAAGCTATTGCAGAAGTTTGCTAGTTAAAACTGGCCATCTCTTTGCTCCCTCTCAGCTAGTATTACTGCCACATGATTTCAGAAAAGACAGGCTCAAGTATAAGTCAGCTGAAGATGGTTAAATGTTTCTGTGGACCTATCCTTAAATAATTTATTAAATTTTTACTTATGACATGAAATAGGAAACAGAAGAGTCAACATAAAAACTAAATCCTTGTTGTGGATTATAACCACAGCCATTAAGAATGTCATTTTTCTTGTACCAATACCACTTATTCTAAAGAAGGACAAAATAGCTATGGGTTTGTTTGTTTTTGTTCCCCCCCCCTCACCTTGATTCTTTCTTCTGCAGATTACTTCTCGTTTAGCAGACGTGTTCAATCAAAGGTGTGAAGTGAACCGAAGGGCCTCTGTGAGTGGCTGTGTCATTAATACCTGTGGCTGGGTCAAGGGCTCTGGTTACCAGGCCCTGGTGCATGCAGCCTCAGCCTTTGAGGTGGATGTGGTTGTGGTTCTGGATCAAGAACGACTGTACAATGAGTTGAAAAGGGATCTGCCTCACTTTGTACGAACCGTGCTGCTCCCTAAATCAGGGGGTGTGGTTGAGCGCTCCAAGGACTTCAGGCGGGAATGTCGGGATGAGCGTATCCGTGAGTATTTCTATGGATTCCGGGGCTGTTTCTATCCCCATGCCTTCAATGTCAAGTTTTCAGATGTGAAGATCTACAAAGTTGGGGCACCCACCATTCCAGACTCCTGTTTGCCTTTGGGCATGTCTCAGGAGGACAATCAGCTCAAGCTAGTACCTGTCACGCCTGGCCGAGATATGGTGCACCACCTCCTGAGTGTTAGTACTGCTGAGGGCACAGAGGAGAACCTTTCTGAGACAAGTGTGGCTGGCTTCATTGTGGTGACCAGTGTGGACCTGGAGCATCAGGTGTTTACTGTCCTCTCTCCAGCCCCCCGCCCACTGCCTAAAAACTTCCTTCTCATCATGGATATCCGGTTCATGGATCTTAAGTAGAGATCAGCGGGGAGCCTTGCTGCCTGGGGCATAGAGATCTTTAGGCCATCACCAAAGGCAGATGGGTGAGGTATAAGAATCTATTGAGGCCAGGCTGATTAGTAAATGCACTAACAGAAAGCATGTAGTTGACCTCTTTAAACCTCCTCTAATCTTGGGCCAAAAGGAAAACCATGAGAATATAATTGGTTTCTTAGATCACCTAAAGTGCCACTTTTAAAGTCCCTCCAGAATCCTGTTTCTTTCACTGTGCTACTGTGTGGACTGATTTTTAGGAGGGATTTTTAAAATCACTTTTATATTCTGTATATAGTGTTTGTTACTTATCTACGATGAAAGAGAGAATTAGAAGGACTCCTTCCAATAAAGTTCAAACTTGGAAAAAAAACAAATATTTTAATAAATATTTTTGCCATATCACAGAAATTGGTATAATTTTTTAAAATTGTTTTATCCCCTATGCATTATAGAAACATTATGAGAGGTTTATTGCTAAATGCTTGAGAGGAAAGCCAAGAGCCCATCTGTGAGCCAAGCAAGTGAATTTTAATGCTGGGTCCCCTTCCCTCTGCACTTAGGTAAATAGATGCTAAATCTGTTGTTAGTGCTGGGCTTACTGTGAGGAACTGAAGAGGTTGGTGATAAACTTGGGATGAGATTTCAAATCTAATAATTTTCCAGAGGTAGCTCATTTCTCTCAGCTGCAGCTCTTTCCTGATGTCTGACTGGAACCAGGCCCTGAGTTAAGGTACAAGTTGAGCTCTCAGCTGGTAAGAAACTGGGAAAGCCCATTCTCTCTGATCTCTTACAAATGATTTATATTCCTACTTTGGACTTGGATTATTGAGTGGGTATCTGGTGCCCTTTATCCATTCATTCTTTCCACAGATATTTATTGAGCATCTACTATTTACCAGGAATTACTCTAGATGGGCAACAAGATAGACAAAGTCTTAAGGAGCTTACATTATAGAATAAACACAAAGGCAAGTTCTATGGGGATTTAATTGGGTGATAGGAGACAGAGTGACTGGGAGGCTACTTAAGAGTGGGTGGGCAGGGAAGGCCTCTCGTGAGCACACATTTTGAGTTAAGACCTGAATGGATGTGTGAAATTGGGGCAAAATCTTCCTGGTAGAGCAAACGGTGCAAAACCCAAAGAAAGGAAAAAGCTTGATGTGTTTGATTAAGGTAAAGGCCTATGAGGTTGGAGTGTAGTGAGTCAAGGGGAGAGTGGGATTTAGGCCCTTTGTAATCTAAGAGCATTGGGAAATAATGGGGACGGGTAGTGTTTTGTCATTTCAGGCCACTATCACAAAATACAGACTGAGTGGCTTAGAAACAATAGAAATTTCTCAGTTCTGGAGACTGGAAAGTCCAAGATGAAGGCACCAGCATGGTCACATTCTGATGAAGGCTCTAATGGGTTGTAGACTGCCTATTCCCAGCTGTGTCCTCACACAGTAGAAATGGAGCCTCTTATAAAGGCACTAATCCCGTTCACGAAGGTTCCACCTTCATGACTTTAAGCACCTCAATGCCCCACCTCCTAACACCATTTTGGGGATTAGGATGTCAACACAAATATTGGGGACAGAACATTCAGACCATAGCAGGTGGTTAAACTGAAATGATGTGATCTAAGTTATATTTTGAAAAGATCACTGGTACCTGGAAAATGGATTCTAGAGGCCAGACACAAGACTTTTGTGGTAGTTTCAGTGAGAGAACTGATAGGGGGATTAGACTAGGGCAGTAGAGGTGGAGTTGGTGAGTAGATTGCCTTGGGGTATTTTGGAGGTAAAATTAATAGGACTTGATGGGAGTGGTTTAAAAAAGTGGAATCAAAGATGATTCCTACATTTTTTACTTGAGTAACTAGATTGAAGATGAGATTAGGAAAACTCAGAGCAGATAAGGGAATATCAAGAGCTCTACTTTGGCAGTAAGTTTGAGCTGTGTATAGTTATCAATATGGAGATGCCATTGTAGACAGAACATGAATCTGGAGGGTTGGGGAAAGTTAGGGCTGAAAGCTCATGGGAGCTATTGGCCTCTAGAGGACACTTAAAGCAGCGGTGTTGGATGAAGTCACTTAGGGACTATGTAAATGGAAATGAGGCAGAAGATGGACTCTTATTTTTTATTAAGGTATTGGTATACTTTTACGGTTTCACATGAAAAAACAATGTGTTACTACATTCACCCGCTATCGTGTCCCTCCTGTACCCCATTGCAGTCACTGCCCATCAGTGTAGTAAAATGCCACAGTCATTATTTGCTTTCTGTGCTACACTGTCTTCCCCTGGATTCCCCCACACACCATGTGTGCCAATCATAATACTCCTGAATCCCAGAAGATGGACTCCTTTTTTTTTTTTTTTCAGAAGATGGACTCTTAAGGCACTCCAAATCAGAGAGAACTATAGACAACTTTTTAAAGAATGTTTTGCTAAGAAAAGTTGTGGGATGTGGGGGAATATGGGGTCAAGTGAAGGTTTGTTGTTTTTTTTTTAGGTAGGATGACTCAGCATATCAACAGACTAAAGGGAGAGAATTTACTAATGGTATGAATGTGTTCTTGACACCTTTTTTCAGTTTTTCATTTTTCAAAATGTCAAAAATTTCAGGAGAAAATGCAGGAGTGAAAGGGATGAGATCCAGATTACAAAGGGGAGAAACTAACCTTTAACCCAAGCAGAGACATTTCATATAGACAGGAGGGAAGGCAGCCGTATTAAACATAAAGAAGTCATTGGTTTTGATGCTGAAAGACAGGGCATTCCTCTCTGCACCTAAACCTAAAGGTAGCATTTTGTTCTTGTCTGCCCATTTAAACGATCCTGTGGTTTGCCATCTATAGGCAGAACATGTAAATGAAGAGGATCTAAAAATACAACTATACTAGGAAAACTATATTACTTGATATACATAGCAAAGTAACTTATTGAGATTTGGTGGTCTGAATATCCCATTGTAAATTTTAGCCAAAAGTTTTGCCATGCAATACCTCTCAGAAGTGGCTGGCAGTTTAAACCTTATGTTCTATTAAATGTATTTCCTAGGAAACAGCTTACATGATCCTAAGGAAAACTGGACAAGAAAATGGAATCTCTAACTCTTGGGATAGTGATTATGCTGCAGTTGGTGCTTATCCAGCTAGGAGCTTGGTATCCTGTAGTCCAGTGTCCCAGGGGTTTAATATGTGTGATTGTATGTTTGGAAGGTCGAATTTTTATTCCCATTTAGCACTGTCTAACGAAGAGACAAAACAATTTACAGGTTCTTACAGTGTTGAAAGTAGGAAAAGAAAGATTCCCAATTTGTGAAGTTAGAAGCAAGTCCTAATCCGAGGCAATTTGCAATGTTAAAATCCAAGAAATATACAATAGAAAAATGAAATTGTTTCTTCCTAAGGAAACGTGATTTGCAGATAGAAAAGCCTCTAGAAATAGATGAAACACTGTGTCCCCAATAATACCTTAACTTTACCTCTTATAGTCTAAAGTATTTCAAAGATCTCATTTTTCAATACACACTGTCATTAAAGAGAACTCTATAGAGTGCGTTGCATTAAATGGTGGACTGAAGCCCTTAGCAAGGATGAACTAGAACCTGATATGCCATGTCAGAGAAGGAACTAGATTAGACTCCAGTAAACAATTTACCTCTCCACCATGTTGCCTAAAGTATCACCACAGTAAAGCAGCAGCATTTGACACCAAACCCGAGGACAGACCGCAGGATTCAGGATCACACTTTACATGGGAGGAACCTTTACAGAAGTGGCTGGTGGAACACTTATTTGAAGATAATTATGTAATACCCAGAGCTGCTTTCCAGAGAGAAATGGCCTCAAGCGAAATGACGAAAGACCACCTGGACTTGCTCTTGGGTTCACTACTGTGTAGGGCTAATTAGGGCAAAGTGTGGCGCTGTGATCCATGTAGAGTTGGCCAGCAGCTGGCCAGGGCCAAGAGCTCCTAGAGAACCTTTACCTTCCAGCCTTTATGACCGGATTGAGCGAGGTTAGGGATGCGGGCGCCAAGTCATGTCGCAGAGAGGAACTGAGGGAATTAAGAGGAGAGCTGGCTCGCCCTCCGGAGCGCTGCCGCCGTCTCAGATGGCGCACCCTCCCTGCGCCTCCTTCCTCTTTTTTTCCGGGCCTGCGGCAGGAGCTTCACCCCGCACAGACTCTCCAAACCCTCGCACCAACCTCCACGCCGGAGCCACAGACCCAGGAAATTCTATTATCCCGGACTTCTGGTACCAGCGAACTTGAGGACCGCTCCATCAAGATGGTTTCAAATAAAGTTTTTGCCATCAGATACAGAAAACACAACGCGAGGGGGAGAGCGGCTAATTAGTTGCCAGTTGGCTAATGCCCGAAGTGGCTGAAGCGGAAGAGGGCGGGCCTGCTGGTGATTGGTTGTGCTTCACGTCCGTCTGGACTGTACCACATTTTCTTGGAGGGGGTTTGGAGCATTCGAGAGGGTAGCTGCTTGCTTTTGAGTATTTCCAGTACACACATATAATAACTTTTACTTCCGAGGACTTTTGCTTGGATATAGTAGGAACAGAATACAGGACGGAGGAAAATGAAAGGCTGGCCCGAACATTTCCCCATTTCTGCCTCCTATGCAGTAGCCCAGCCCTTCTCTGCCAGTCGTCTGCGGAACCCGACGGCCTTGCGGGCGCGTTCTCACTTTCTCGCGTACGTACGGCGCTGTGCTCCTGCAGCCAATCAGGCCACGAGGTCGCCGCGGTCGCCGGGGTTCGCGCGCACGCCCTAGTGCGGAGTCGGAGTGGGGGCTATGGGTGAATGGGAGTGAGCGGGGGCGGGCGCGGCGGCGCGAGACCCATGAATGAGAGAAACGTGCCCCGCGCGAGACGTCGCGCGCGCCCGGGACAGAGAGCCAATGGGAATGCTGGGAGGGCTCGGGACCCGGCACTGAGGGCAGCGGTTGCTGCCAGCTCGAACACTAGCGTCGCCGGGCGGGAGCGCGCGGAGCGGGGCGGGCGTGGAGCGTGCGGGGGCCGCGCGCTGCTTCTCAGGGGCCGGACGGCACTGCCGGGAGGCATCGGTGACAACGACGGCGCCGGGGGTGAGTGCCGGGGACGCCGGCCCCTGCGGAACCGGAAGTGGAGGGCCAGTGAAGTGGGAGGGGAGAGTGACCTCTAGGGAAGGGGGACCGAGGAGGGGGAGGTGGTTTGAGGCCCCATTCCCCCTGCGGGCCGGGTCATCCAACTGCGGCGGGACCCGTGGGCCCTGGAAACGGACGACGTGTAGAGGCCGGGATCCACGGCCGCCGGGGCTCAGAACCGGTTAGTGCCAGGCCGACCGGTCCTAGCTCGGGACCCTGGCCCTCCGCCGCTGGGGCTCGGCCGCCGCCCCTTCCGCCCCCGGCCTCCACGGGCTCCAAGGGCTCTGCGGTCTTCCGCGGCCCCGGTGGGCCTGCCGCCGCGGATTCCGGCTTCTTGGTCGCAGCCAGCTCTGCCCCTTACGGTGATTCTCCTTGTCCCAGCTCCCGGCTGGGGACGAGTGCTGTTCCCCTTTTACCTCCCTGCGTTTCAGGTCCCTTAGGGACTCGGCTGATACTTACTTTGGCTCAAGCCTCATCCTGTTACCTGTTCTCCCGTCCGGCTGCTTCCTCCCCCTACCCCCACCAGCCGAGTGCTCCATGCTTTTAGTACTTTGTACTTTTTTACAAGCGGAGCTTGATTCTGCTTGCCAGTATTTTACCTATAGGAATCGCTTTGTGGTACAGGCAGGTGGAAAGTGTTTTACCCACTTGGGCGAATGGAAACACATGAAATGAGGAGCTAAAAGTGACTCAAAGTTATGAAAGGGGGTGTAGGATCGGATATATGTTAAGACTTTTTTTCTTCCTTGAATCTTTCACTTCCTGGTTAATGCCATCTTGTCTAGGTTAATCTTATATTCCCATCCATATCCTTTTATCCTAGTATTCCACTATGCTGTGTCAAATCTCTTCAGAATGTTTAGTATCTATTCTCTAAAACACCCACCTAATGCTTACAAGACTTGTATTGCCGTGTACTTTGCTACCTCGGTATATCATGATAACACCTATATTAAACTTCTGCCTAACTCCTCAGCTAGTGTCTTGACATGTGGAGTATTTCATGATTACTTTTTATTCATATTACTGTATTGTACTGTTACACCACTTTATTTCGACAACCCTTGTGCTGTTAGTGGTACTCTGTATTCATTCACCCCTCCTTAAAGTGGTATTAAACCTTTAATACAAACATAGTACGTATTTGTATTAAAGCCTTCAAACCAGATATTCTATTTAATGTATACATATTTCCATTCCATAGGTTACTCTGTGCACACCTTTCTCATACTGGTGTGGATCCAGACTTCTGGGTCTGATGAACCACCCTTACCTTGCAGTCTCATCCCCACTACCTCTCATCCCTACATCCCTCTGCTAAGATTTGATGCATCTTTACTGTACCCAGTGCATTCTTAGATTTTGCTTTGTCCCTTCTAATAATAGGTAAACCCCAAACATTTCAGATGCTGATTCTTTTGTTTCCCAGTATTGTAAGGTCTTTATGACGGTACATTACTATGGCAGTTTTAGCCAATGTGACTTTTTTTCCTGTCAGAAACTATAATATGAAATAATAAATCATGTTTAAATGATAGTCTTCTACTCTAGATAAAATACAAGGAGTGTAATTTTCCATCTTCTGTAACCTTTGGGGTTTTGAGGGGAAAGTTAACTTTAACAGTACCCGTCTCCAAATCAAGAATTTGCTTCTCATTTTTAACAAAGTTGCATACACCTAAATTCAGAAGGTTGGGCTTTGATCCCTATAGGAAACTGAGAGTTAAATAATCAGAAAATCAGAAGCTGAGAAGATTTACCTTTCTTAGGATTTTAACAGTTTCGTGTAATCTCTGGGTGTTCACTGTATTCTAATACTGCTGTTTGGCCCTCAGTAAAACTCTGTTGTTAAAGAGACTGACAATACATGTTGAATATCTTCCATTGCCACAGGTAAGAGAGGGAGTGATAAATTCCAGGGCACCTTCATTTGTATTTCACTAACCAAATCTGATATTTTAATCTCTACCTTTGGTATTAAGGTAAATAACCAGACTACTTGGGTGAAATGAACTGTATTTCAAATTCTAGCTTAAGTTAGATTCTTAGTCTGCAGATTGTAAGTTGTCGTCACTGAGCAGGCAGTGTAGTGGATGAGAAAGGTAGAAAGGGTTTGTGTTGGCAAAGGAGCATGTGAACTTGGGATGGGAACCAGATTGCTCAAGTGATTCAGTGGAATGGCCTCAGGCATCCTCTAGCCTTCAATTTTACTGAGTAGGATAAGGGATTGTGTCACCAGATACTGTGAGTGCTTTGAGATCACTAGATGAAAAGCATCCCAAAAAATCCAAAGTGCCAGTGTTATTTTGCTACTACCATCGACAGAAATAATTGTTACTCTTAATCCTATGGGGGAAGGTGGGGCTCAGTTGACATCCTAATAGGTGTAAGTGTAGGAATAAAAAACTGTTGAAATGGGAAGAAAAGGACCAGCCCCTGTGGTTGACTCAGTTACTCATGGAGAGCATCTCACCTTTCAGTGCAAGAACATTTCTCACCCAAGCTGCTTTTCTGGGTTATTCCAGAAGACCTAAAATTCAGCTTCTGCCTCATCAGGGTTATAACTAAAAAGCATAGAGGGATGAGAGACAGACATGCACAGAAAGGCAATGAGACTTACTGCCCTAATTTTGGTTTCTTTTTTCTTTCCTCACTGTTGCAATAAATACTCTCTTTGTCCAAAGAGAAATCTCTTTTCTAGGACTGCCCTTCACTGCTGTGCCGTTGTTTGGTTTTAGATTTTGATGTTCTTGATATTTGTTAGTGCCTATTTATGTCAGGTGAGATGGGCCCCTTATAAGAGCTAGTTCTTTGGTGATCTTAGGCCAGGTGAGAAAGCCAAGTTCTCTTTCCAGTGTGAACAGCACTTTCTGAGTGAAGGATTCTGAATCCATTGTCCTATTCAGAGTCCTTTTCCACATACACCTAAGTGGGAAATATTCTTTCTTTCAAAAGACACTTTTTTTCTTTTACAGAGTAGCTTATAAGGTTTTAGCCTTGATGTTCTTAAGAAATACCCTGAAAGTGTTTCTCTGATAAAGATACTTGTTTTTCTCCAGGTGAGGCAGTGTAACGCAGTTGAATCCACAAAGCCCAAGACTGAAGAAAGATCAAAGACATTGACTAACCTGGAAACAGGGACCTCTTTGGGACTTTGCTTTCATCTGCAGTAACCTTTTAAAAGTATCATCAAGTGGAATTGATTTGTTCATCTTATTTTGCTTATTGAGAAGAACATGTCTTCAGGGATTTTATATTTCTCTAGTTTTGCATTAACTCTATAGAAAACTGAGCCCTTAAAGGGCTTGGGGATAACAAGAAGAGATTGAAGACAAGCTTGCTCTCTCTGTTTTCCTTTCCTCATCAAAGAAAAGGGTTTACAACTCAACCTTGGAACAGCTGTTGCCCAGCTTTAGCCATCAAGAGAAAATAAAATTAAATCACCATTGCCCAGACTACAAGCCCTGAAGTAAAGGTGTGGAACTGGTGGCGTTGAGAAAACTGCCTAAAAGAAACAAGAACTGCAGCAAAAACTGCTTCTCCCTAAAGCTGGAAAGGGCCTCAGCTTCCTTTTTGGATTAAAGTAGAAACACAGGGCACACCTCCTGTAGGTGCAGCTCACATTTCGTGGAAGTGTTGGAGTTGTGGAGGTACCATAGTATCTCCTCAGAAGAGTTTCTCCTTACCAGAAGCATTCTGCCCTACCCCGATTTCCCCCCTTCTGTCCCTTTGAAGACTTAACTCTGTCCATGAGCTATACCTTGATCTGTCTGACTGCCCATGTTCTCCACCTGCAGCCATTTGCATGTGTACAGCCTACTGTTTGTCTCCAGTTGTTAAACTGTACAAGTTGTGTTTCTTAATCTCTCCTTCTGCCTTGCTCTGGGGAGGTGGTTATTCATCATTTGGAATCACCTTTCCCCCTCCCATGTGCTTTCCTTCATTTGAGATCTTTTGATCTTTGGTTTTATTTGGGAGGGGGAAGGGTGATAATTTAAAATTTTCTGTTTCCCTGGTTTCCTTCTGTACTCTCTTCTCCATTGTTTCCCTCATCCCGTTTTCTTGTCTGTTCTGCCGCTGTGTGGGCCTGGGCTATGCGGCAGGGCAGATCTCCCAGCAGAGCTCCATCATGCCCGCAGAGTCTGGAAAGAGATTCAAACCCAGCAAGTATGTTCCAGTCTCAGCAGCCGCCATCTTCTTAGTGGGAGCTACAACCCTCTTCTTTGCCTTTACGTGAGTTTTCTCCTGCTGGTACTCTTTGGGGGGCACTCCATGGCATGTGAGGGGGGTATTTTTTTCTCTTGAGTTTAGCCAATTACTTGCAAAGCCAAGTGATTGGGAGTGCTTGATGTCTGATACAGGGGAATACAAATCCCAGAGACACGGAGAGAAGAGCGAGAAAAAACCTATCCTCTCAGCCTTGTTACAAATTTTACTCCACTGAATCCTTCACTTTGCCCTGCTTTCCTTCCTTTGGAATCATAAATGTCTTCTTATTTTCCTACCCAGCTCCATCATTAAATGATCCTGAAGTAGGAAGGAAGTGGGAGGAAACCACCAGGGCTGCTTGAAGCAACTTAAGCAATCAGTTCTGTGAGAGAAAGAGAACTAGACTAAAGGTTTTTCAGCCGGTAATGGCTTTTCTTCAGGGTAGTGAAGCATATATTTAAATGAGATTGTGGAAGTTGAGAGTTCTGCAGGATTTCAGAATTGATCTAAAAGATTGACCAATGAGACAGTTTTAGCTTTTAGTGTTACTCAGATGGTTTTCTCTGTACTCTTAAAAAACTGAAGCCTAGAGAAGTGAAGGCTACTGGGAACGGGCAAGTTTTGTTTAGGAAGAGAGTCCTAGAAGGCTTCCTTTACATTATTTCCTGCGGAAGGGAATGGCAGTAATTATCCCATTCCCTGGTATTACTAGGAGCAGTAGATTTGAAGATTTTCCACCTGGGATATTCAGACTTTGTTCCTACTCTTATTGGAGGAGACTTGAGTGATTGTTCATTCCCCCTTTCCCCAATATTTTAGCTAACAATCACCTGGCAAGCATCTTTGCTGTTAACTTGTTTATGAAATAACATGTACCAAGCTTCCGAGCCTTAAACTGTTGAGTCATTGAGTTAGTGTTCTAGTTGTAGCCCTTGGAATAATCAGAGCATGCTGAATCTTCTGGGGAGTTCACTTTGCCGTGATTCAGGCTCAAACCTAATTGTAAGGTGCTGTTTAAAGCAATGTGAGGTGGCTGGGAGGGGGAAGAAAATGAAGTGGTAGGGAACAAAAGCAGTCTGGACTCAGTGAAAGATGAATGAAGCGGGAGTTGCTGGGGTGAGAGAGTTAGTTATGGGAGAAATAGAAAACAGAAGTTAAATCTGAGGTAGGAGGGAAGGAAAACTCCCAAAATTGGGCTTCAGATGCCAAAAGGAATCCTAAGCCTGAAAAATGTGGGTCATTTGGCCAAAAGAGTCAGCAGAGTAACAGTGATGTTCTTCTGTTTAGTTTTTAAGCAAGGAAAGAGTGAATCTGTTGTTACCTAAGGTATGAGTGCCAACCTACTTCTCACCCTCTTCCTCTGAGGAGTAGAAGTCATAGGCATACCTGTTGATTCACTCCAGGATCTAAAGCAGGCCTACTCTTCTCTACCTGATTTCTCTTTTTTTCATAATCTTTTTCTTCTGCATAAACTCAGCATGTTCAATATTCTGACCTGCTTGTATTGGCTTCCAATAAGGAGTGAGTCTTCAGTGTCAGACTTGTTTTGGTTTCTGCTATTATGGCCAATAAGTAGAATCCCATTTTAACCAAGGGACATTTACATGAGATCTTAGTATCCTTGTAGTACTTGTGGTGCCTTGTCTGGAGGGATATGTACAAGACAAATTTCATGTCCTTAGATCTGTTCAATTGGGTATGTGTTCCTTTAAGAGGCAAAGCTTTTGGGAAGCTGGGGCATTTAGGGGGCTGAGTGGTTTCACTCTCAACCCATCTGTTCTTGAGATAGGGCGAGCAGAATCCTTGTTCTTAGCTTGCTAATCTGGAACCATTGAAGTGCTTGGCTGGTTATACCAGTTTAGCTACAAAGAATTGCCCTGGCATAGGCATTTTATCAACTGATAGTTGAAGTTATTTAACCTACATTTCTATTCCCTGGTGCCAGAAAAGTAGGGGTCTTCCATATTCCATGGTGTCTCAGTGCCAGGAAGAATAATTCTGGAGGACAGTATTGACGCTATATGGAATTGTTGCCTCTAATCAAAGTTAGAAGAGCTTTAAGTCATAGCTAGAGTTGCCCCTGGCAGTTTCCTTAGGACCAATTACTGGGCTCTCTTTTCTTTCCTGCAGTCTCCCCTGCCCACCCTGTGAAGATAGACACCCTGTTTATCTTTTTTTTTTTTTTTCTTTTGAGAGGGCATCTCTCATATTTATTGATCAAATGGTTGTTAACAACAAAAAAATTCTGTATAGGGGACTCAATGCACAATCGTTAATCAACCCCAAGCCTAATTCTCAACAGTCTCCAATCTTCTGAAGCATAAAAAACAAGTTCGTACATGGTGAACAAGTTCTTAAATAGTGA